GTCGTAAAAGAGAGATGTGACAATCAGTTTATACATTCATCGATGAAATGATATGTCACACAGGCAGATGGAAGATGTCCCGTATTTATTTTCTTCAAAAGTCGTCATCAACCATTTTGAAATTGTTCTTGTCATTATAGGCATATGTGATTTTGATGATAAACACAAATAGAAAAATGTCATATGCTTATTTCTTTTCTCTAATACATCTTTTTTAATTCCATTCATCCATTTCTTCATTTACTCTTTTTCTTTTGATTTTCGAGGGAAGCGTCCCGAGAGAATTGATATTTCTCATATTTATCATCTTTACTCGAGAATTTAAAGTTACGGTTAAACCTTAGCTTCAAGTTAAAAGTTGAATTTCAGTTAAATTTTTTAAAGTTAGGTTTTAAAAAAATTTTAAGGTTGAATTTTTGAATTTTTTTTGTTCAAATTTGTCTTTAATATTTTCATTATTGATTTAACATATACAATGTTTGAATGTAATTTATGAATTTTTTCTACCTTTAGAGGAACCAAAATAATCAACTAATTGCAATGTTGTCAATAACAACGTTACTTTCAAATCTTTTAATAAATCATATTTCCATTTTTCGATTAATTGATAATTTTAAATATTTTAATTAATCGTTTTTCCACTTTTCTTAGTTTTTATACCTGCAAGTGAAATGAATCAAATTAATAAACAATTATTGTCCACCTGTAATTAATATTGCATGTTAAAACATTTACGAATAAATTATAGTAGAGAATGAATAATCTCTCAGATTTAAAACATTCAATTTACATGTAAAAAAAGAGCAGTAAGCAAATTTCAAATTCTATGAAATAAAAAAGAAATTGGAAATAAAACTGAAATCAAAAATTAAATAATCGAATATTTGAAAATTCGTATTAATTAAAGTAAGAAAATCATCTCGGTAATTGATATCTGTTTTTAAAGCGGCTCTTTAGTTTTTCATTTTCTTTAAAAATTCTTGTTAGGAAAATATTTATTTCAAGTTAGGATTGTTAATCAATTCCGAATTTTTGTTTTCATCTTGATGATATTAATCGGAAAAAATTTAAGATTTAATTTTGATTACTTATTTAAATCTTATCAGTAGGTATAGTATGTGATATTTTTCAGGATGAAGGGATTTAGGATCAAGATGAATTTCAGGTTGACAACATCAGTTATCATACTTTCATCATTATTATCTTCCTTCATCGATGCAGCAGTAATTCATCAACATTATATTTTTTTTCCTAGCACTATATATATTTTGTTAGAAAACTGTATTGGTTAAAAAAATACCGTATGAACAGATTGAAAGAAATTATCATCAATGAAATTATCATTTCTAAATTCTAATTGTCATTACTACATTTTTTCATGGTACTCTTTTTACCAAAGTATTAAGGAATACTAAGCATAATCTATTTATTCAAATAATTTTCGCTAATTAGCAGAAATAAATTTCCAGTCGTAGATGAAGAATTAGTACATTTACAATTTCTTTTCTATATTTATAAATAATTTTAAATTGTTTTTAAGAAGTCGTCCAAACAATGTGGTTTACCGCCATTTGTTGGTGATTTACCGGATGCTGAAAAGAAAGAAGTTTTATCGATATGGAAGGATTATAAATCAGGCGAGGATTGCGCTGATCAGAGACAAGAAACACAAGAGATTGTTAGTTTCAGTATTATTTTGAAAAAACTTCGAAGCAAGTTGATTTTGAAATGATATGATAAGAGAAGATTGAGATGAAAGATAAGGACAAGGAAAACATTTTAATTTCATTATTTATTTGCTAAAATTTTTTGTGGTAAATCATCTTTTATTGAAACAATCCATGCAATCAATCATCTGTCCTTGACAATTGATGAATTAATAAGAATTAAATTTGCCAACTTCGGTGGAAAAATTATGTATTAAATCTAATTATTCCAAAAAACTTCGCAATTTTCATTTCAAATATGTGATATTGACAGCTTATTTTTTCATATTTCAGATTGACAATCTACCAAGCGATGTACGAGCAGTGGTATTCGGTCGATCACCACCATTTCTCAAAAATGCTTCAGCTAGTGTGAAGAAGTTGTTTCGAGATATCATGCATAATAGAACATTGAGTCATGATGAGAAAAAGCAAGAATTAAGGTTATTCTTTGTTATTTGTAAACTATATAAGTTTGGAAAATATTCAATTTGTTATGTTAATTTAAGATTGAAAAATTAATCGAATTAGGTTTTCTTCCCTTTTGAATAAACCGAATTGATTGCTTGATTTATCAAGGTTATCTGATAAGCTAAATTTAAATTTAGGCTCTGAATTTTGTGTCGTAGTTAAATCCATACCCAATTTACAGCAAATTAGCGGAACAAGTTTTAAATAAAAAACAGCTCGCTGAATTTAAACGATATTTGCAAGAGCATGAACGTCGAAGGAAAGAATTTGAAGAGGCGGTAAAATTTTCAATATTTATCATTCCAAACCTACACTAATTTCAAATTATTTAAAAAAAATTGAAGTGAGAATGAATTTTTTTTCTTGATTACTATTGACAATATTAATTACTTTAATTAAGAAGTGACCGGTACAGCTATATTTAGCTAAAATTACAAAGAAATTTCAGTTGAATTTGACAAATGAGTATTTGCTATTGTTATTGATTATGTGTCGTAAATTTGTGAAAATATTTCAGGTGAATAATCTTTCAACAGAAGCTAAAGAAATTTACGATAAATTGGAACGCTTAAAAGCTGAACGAGCTGGAATTTTGGAACAAATGAGTGATGATGTGCGGAAAGAATTACGCCAATTATACCGCAAATCAAAGGGTCAAAAAGGAAGCAATAGAAAGCATTGAATTATGTTATTTATAGAGAATGCTGTTATATTCATGAGTTTTTGGCACTTTTCTTCTTTCGTTTTGCAAGCTCATAATTGTAGATGACATTTCTCTGGATGTTTCATCCTTTGATTCAGTTTGAATTTTTCTTTTTTCACTAACCTCATTCTTAGTTATTTTCTCCGACAATAATCAGTTAGTCTTTTTTCTTTCACAATTAAACATTAAAAGTTGAAGTTTTGAAATCTTGACCTGTTACTGATTCTTTTGCTAATTTTCTTTCTTTATAGAAATTACATTTCATACAATTTTCAATAGTTTTCCAATTTTCAATAGTTATTATTGCGAATTAAAAGATTTAATCTTGCAAATGCAACGGAAGGCAAATTCATTGAGCCTTACGAATCCAGAACCGTTATGAATCTAAAAGCATTATGAATCCAGAAACGTTATGAATCTAAAAGAATTATGAATCCAGAAGTGTGAAACAAATTCACAACAGTCTTTAAAATCCTATAATTCTAGCGGTGTTATTATGGCAGCATTATTCTTTGTTATTCATCAGTTCAATTTTGATTTGTGTTATTGAAATGCATGAATAGCAATACGGATTTCGATGAAAGAGTCTTGCATAAAGCCAAGCCTTCAGCGATAGCCTAATGAATAAGAATGTATCGTTGGTACATCTAGGCCAGTGATGATAGTCTTGTAAATACATATAATTTGTTCATTGGAGAAGTGCAAAAATAACTGATAAGTTAAAGAGAGAGAGAGGGAGAGCGAGAGAGAGATAGTCCATTTTTCTCCAGCAAAAGAATATGCAAATTTTCCAAAGAATCAATACTAAGTTGTGAATTTCAAAGTTTATTAAAAAATTTGCATACTAAAAAAATTTGATACACTAAGAAGTGATATAAGTATCACTTCTTAGTGTGTCTCATTCATTGTTGCAGTTTATCAGTGAATAATTTGGTTCATCACTTATCTGCTTCCTCTTTCTGCTAAGGTACTAAATTTGGGATATCATGAAAAAGATCTATTTTTCAACATTCCATTCCCTCATCAAACTATTTCTGTTGTAAAATATTACTATTGCAGTTGAAAAAATTTAATTTTTTAGAATTAATTTCAACAATTTCTCAAAAATTGCCTCTTTATATACAAGTCTTTTCATTGAAAAATTTCAAATCAAAGATTAAGAAAAAGTTTCTCTTTTTTTTTTGTCTTCTATAAGAATAATAATAATAATTGCATGAGAAGGGAGAAGAGATAATTATTCCGCGGGAGTTTAAATCAATATTGTTTGCTTATTACTTTTATCGTATTATAATGGAACTAATAAATTCAAATATGATAATTTTTATCAAAGATGTATGATATCTTCGAAGGATAACATTTGCTAAATAAAATAACAAATTAGAAAATGAAAATTGAGGGAATTGCAATAGGAAGAGAAAGAGGTTAAAGTTCAAGGAATATATATATATATATATATATATTTATAAAGATGTTTTTTGATAGTGATATAACCTCAATATTATTCGAACTGCTGAAAGACTATCGAAATGAGCAAGCCAAAGGTTGGAATAAATGGGTAAATTTTTATTTCATTTTTAAGTTCTTTTGTCTTTTTTATATTTGAAGAAAAAAAATTTCATTTAACTTTATGTCATAATTTCTTTATTAGATTTTTTTTAAACTTTTCAAAAGATTTTTATTCAAAATATTTGTAAATTATAGATTTGGTCGCATCGGTCGACTTGTCTTGAGAGCAGCAGTTGAAAAGGACACTGTTGATGTTGTCGCTGTCAATGATCCATTCATCAACATTGACTACATGGTTCGTTTCTATGTTAATTAACATTAATTTAATTTATTCTTTTAATTGTTTATATTTTATAAATGCATTAGTTTAGTATATTTAACGTGAATTATGAATAAATATGTGCATAACATAAGAAAGGCATAAAGTTTTACGTATCAATTTGTCTATGCATATGAATAGGAACGGAAATGTAGTTTTGCATGTTTAATTGGAACTCATACATATATATATGTGAATAAGAAGTTTACATTTTATGGTTACGTCATTTCACGTATTTGACACGCGAACGTTTGTATTGACGTTCAAAGAAGTGTAATTTTATGTATTTGACGTAAACGTTCAAACATTGCTACAAATTACGTGAAGACATAACATGCCTGTTATGATGTAGTGATAAAAAAATAGATAATTCATGAAATGATATATTTCAGGTGTACATGTTTAAATACGATTCAACCCATGGCCGTTATAAGGGTACGGTAACTGCTGAGGGTGGCAAATTAGTAGTTTCATTAAATGGCAAAAGCACCCATAAAATTTCGGTTCACAATAGGTTATTATTAATTATTCATTGTTTATGCTTATTTTACTATCAATGATTTTGTTAAAATTTTACAATTTTTATTTTAAAAATTATAGCAAAGATCCAAAAGAAATTCCATGGGGAACAGATGGCGCAGAATATGTTGTCGAATCGACGGGCGTTTTTACAACAACGGAGAAAGCAAGTGCGCATCTGAAGGGTGGTGCCAAGAAAGTCGTTATTTCTGCTCCATCAGCTGATGCACCAATGTTCGTAATGGGTGTCAATAATGACAAATATGATAAGGCCAACAATCACATCATCTCTAATGCTTCTTGCACCACCAATTGTCTGGCTCCTTTGGCTAAGGTTGAAGATTTCTTAATACAAACTAACATTTCTAAGTCTAGAAATTGTTTGAGAATTTTTGGAAAGTGACCTGAAATAGGGAGGTGGAATTAATGAGATGCTAATGTCACTTTTTGATGCATTTGATGCCCAAGACTTTTCGGAATAGATATGAAGAAAACGAGGTGAGAAACGTTGTTGATTACCTGTTAAGGATT